GAAAATGGATCAAAATATCAAATCAAAGAGGTTTACCGCGAATTTTTGAAGCAACGTCGGCACAGATGCGGCCGCCGCGGATGGACTCCTGGCCTTGCGACCATATGCGCGACACAGTAAGCGCATGGCAGTGGAACTGGGCAGCAACACGGACGATGATGCCGCGAGGGAGCGTGCCGTTGCTGGAGGCACCAAGCAGAGTCTCGTACACTGCATGACGCTCGGCAGGGCGTAGGTGCCGCTTGCCATCGCGGGGCTCGTTAGACGGTCGAAGTGGGTCGGAAGCGCCGTGGGAGAGTTGTGGCTGCATAGTGGAGTTAGTTCGACGAGAGAAGCGGTGTTGGCTGGAGAAACGATCGTGTTATGAGCTTATTCTGATGACTTTTCGTCAGCGCATGCGACACACAAATTTTGGCGCCCAATATCTCATCAACCAAAACGCTCTAGAAAGCCCAGAAACTATCCAATCATAGCATAGATCTTGCGCTTTCTAATGCACCAATCACATCGCAATTTGGGGCTAATTTAGAAAAATGCCGCCAATAGAAAGTCGAACCTAACAACTATTTTGGACCAGAGTAGTAGTCCCGTCTGGTAACCTGAAATAGTACAAAATTCTGGCCCATCATTTTTGTGGTCGAATTCAATAAATCTGATAGAATTGAATCTATGTCTTGCTTGATGAGTTTTAACAACCCAAATGCAATAATTTCAAGTGGGATTTACTTCTTCAGGAACCTTTTCCCTCCATTTTGCAAATGGCATTTTTATCCGAGTTTGCCAGAAAATGGAATATTATTTTTGAAACGTTACCAGACATACCCCCAATGTTCTGCCAGCACGTTTATGGTATTTACGTCACTACTCGGAGTACTACGTAGTACTAATTATATTCTACAACGCGCATCGCGTTGTTATCTATAATAGTATATACACTGTAATCTCACGTGGACATACTGTATATATATCCTTCTTGTACCTTGCCAACCCTCGTGAAACCCATGTGTTTGGATGATGAAGCGATAATTCTATTACTATGTATCTACCGTATACCTTATGATCTGTACCCTCGAAAATGTCAGTAAAATCTGATCGAAATTGATACAACTCAATACCAAGGACTTACGAAACATCCGGTTAATTAACCGGTAAATAAGGGGGGGCTCCTCGGCCTGGTTCGCTTCGCTCCCGGCCTCCGGTGCTCCCAAGGATTATATAGATCATTGCTGTGATACTCCATCATTCTCTTTCAAAATAAAGTATGAACTTCACTATCGGAGTGTTGATCTTGTTTCGTAAAAGGGTAAATACAGTATGTATCAATAAGGTGGTCTGATTTCTTTTCAATGCGTTCGGATTGGTTACTTCTACTAATTCGACTTGTTTAATTGGCTAGAACGAGATAATTGGACAGTTTTGACCAATATAAAGCGACTTGGGTATAGCCTTACCAAATCGTACTTTATTGACACCATACAGTAATTTGGGTACAACTCGATAAGGCAAAATCATGGGTATACTGACTGATCCATAAGGTATACGGTAGTGTAGTGTGATTAAGATAATTGGTCGATGTTAATCATTGTAATAATTCCTATTACTAGTTAATACATACGACGTTGTCCTATTGGTTTCGTAAACTAACTCGATTTCGTCCGGTCAAAGTGGTGCAGTTGCCCAAGCGTATATCGAATCAACACGCCATACACCACCACGGAATGCACGACTACAATCAAACACCGAGTTATCATAAAAACCAGCAATAATCTATATATATTTCATATATCCACTGCCACTGAAGACTGCTGTACCCGATACTGTACGTACATAAAACAAGCAACAGGGGCGACGCTAGTAGGTCCTCCATTTGCGTCGATGTAAAGCTCGACAAGACATTGTTGACTATATGTAGCACCACAAGCTGGCCCAACGACCGAGTTTGAATGTACTGGAGGCCGTAAAAATAGCCAATTTCAATGCCAAAACATAGCTGCATGGCCACATACAAGGCGGAAAAGTTGGCATGGCGGACATTTAGCAAGTGCGTGCTTCCAAATAGCACACTCACGACGCCCACAGCTTGTTTCGGGTACATTGGCAGGCTACATATACATATATATATTATATATATATAAAAACGAGCCAAATAGAGTGGTGGTGTACCGATTCACGACAAGGTGAAAGGCCACGCCACGAAATACCAGTTCTTCTTTAATAGGAGAGAACAAGAGGATCTCAAGGACATGCTGCAAAGTCGAGTAGTTGCTCCATGTAAACACCCAGTTGTTGGTCCAGTATTGCCAGCTCACAACCACGGCAAAGCCAACCACTTGATATGCTATCAAAGCTAAGGCCACCGACGACGACATTGATATTGGCGGCCACAGGCCCAACCTATGGCAACGATTAGGTACTCGAGATTCGGGAAGTAGGTACTCGGGATTCGGGAATTAGGTACTTGGGATTCGGGAATTAGGTACTTGGAGGTACGAAGTATACATGATCGAAAATGGACGAGTATATAGTACCGTTGAATCCAAGCTTGCAGCGACGGCTGGTGAAAGTTGGCCGCTGACCGACGCAACACGTACAGACACACAAAGGTGGCGTCCCATAGGCTTTCCCATACATTTGGCTTGGATGGGGGGAGCGATGGATTGGACGACAGCACGACGGTGGCAAGCGCATGCAATGCACTTCGACACACCACGGACAAGATCATGGCAAAGAACGTTTCACCGAGGAATGCAATCACTTCCACCCATGCCACGATCGCTGCTAGTACCGACCCCTGTAGCTTTGTCCTATTGCCTGCACAGCAACGGACGGTCAACGGCGACGATCGTGGAGGATAGGTGTCGTTGTACCATCGATGGCGGTGCCAGACTCTTCGGAGGGAGCTATCAGAGCCATCAGTCCATTCTCTAACGGGTCCACTGGTGGAAACAGCAGCAACGACGGCGGTGGTGCCGGCGATGTCGTAGCGCCCACGTTGGATGATGGTGCATCCACCGCCGGTGGCAGTTCGTCCCGGGTCGTCATGTTTGGCGTCATTTTACGAAAATTTATCTAAATTCCCTTGAAAACAAAGTCAAATATATCGTCATATGATTGGCTATTATTCATCCCCCTGCACCAATACCACCTGTCTCCGGTATGTATTATTATGGCAGCATTCAAGTTGGAGTAGTTGACGAGCCAATGAAATTGCTTGAATCTGAAATTCCAACCAATGGTAGCTTGGCCCAGTTCAGCAATTTCTATGTAGCTTGATTCGTGTTGTGGGTTTGGATTGGTCGATACTTCTATCGATTTTGTGTGTCATATATACCAAACACTCGAATTTCGAATCGACAAATATATATATATAACGTTAACGTTAGTATTTGAATTCCCTCGTAACTTGCTGGTTTGTCCAACGTGTGCAAAGTTGGACGACCGAATCCACTATGTAGTACTAGTACCTTTTATACAGTATGGGTGGTGCATGATTATCCTATTATCCAAGCCCCATCCATACTGGTACACACACCCATCCATCCATACTGTACATATACACCTACAGACCTACCCATACATATTTGAAATTGGAGTGTTTGGTCCATCGAGTATGACCAGCATATCGCCAAATAATCGGCAATCAATCATCGATGATCTATCGATATACGACCAATCCAAACCCACAACACGAATCAAGTGGCCAATCAAATCATCCACCATGCTTGGACCAATGTTCAACATGACTGAAATTCGTGTGACTGGAATTAGTGTGATCCACGAATCAAGTCAAATCCACCACCATTCTTCGACCAATGTTCACCATCGTGTGTGTGACTGAAATTAGTGTGAGACTCGACGATCTGTAAGTCAACAAAATCGAGTCTGTGCTCGATTTAGCAAATCTGCCCCAAATTCCCCCAAATGTTGGGCAAAAGTCGATTAGTCGTCCCTATCTCTCTCGTTTTTATGGGGTTGAAGACGACGAAGTTTCTTCTTGGTGAAAGTCTTCGCGCACTTGGGTGCGGCGCGCGTAGAACGTGTCGAGATGCTTCTTGGGGATTTTCTTGAGCAGTTCCTTGGGGAACGCGCGAAAGAGAGACCACGCCAGGTCGAGCGACTCAAAAATATCGCGCGACTGGTACGGCCCTTGTGCGATAAATTTGGCTTCAAACTTGTCTGTAAACTTGAGGTACAGATGGTCCTCCATAGACAGAGCTTCTTCGCCCACCACCGCCTTCATCGCTTGCACGTCTTTGCCCGTGGCATAACTCGCATACAACTGGTTCGACACGGCCGAGTGGTCGTCGCGGGTCATACCGTCGCCGATGGCGCTCTTCATGAGGCGAGATAACGACGGCAACACGTTGATGGGAGGGAAGATCTGGCGGTTGTGCAGTTGCCGATCCACGTAAATCTATATCATAATACAAATATATATCAGTGTTTCGAGGATTTATATATATATATATTGGGCTTTCGAGTGAAATTTCATCGTCGTCGTTTCTCGGTGCAATTTTATTTAAATCGATTTGATTGGCTACTTCAGAGGAGCTCAACATTATTAGCCAATCAAAACCCATTTCACCATGAAATTCAACAACCAATCAGATCGATTGTGGATCGGTTTGGTCGGCGCAAAGATTCGATTCCACCCCCCCATCCCCAAATTTGTATCAAATCGACAATACAAGGAGAATAATTAATATAAGCCTTGATTCAAGTTCGTTTCCAATGGAAAAAATCACATCTATATATATATATATTGGGGATTGGTTGTTGGACGAGTCCCGAGGTTTTTCCACAAACGAACAATATAGAAAGAAATACTAGTTAAAAAATGACCAATTCGGGAGGATCGGTGGAATGGGGTCCCGACTTTTCGACCACGTCAATCATATATATATATATATATATATATATATATATGGATATGTCACGATATAGATATATACAGTATCGTCGGATACAAATATTTTAGTTATCTACATTGAACACGGCACTTTCAGATATTCAATAGAGAGAATTGTGTTTTGACATGGTATGTATGTATGTATATATATATTGGGACATATATATATAATATCATTAATATGAGTTCCCCCCATTGGAGACGGCATCTTGGACATACAAAAGGTCCAGGTATTCAAGAGAGAAAACAATAGAATTGATTTTGGCATGGTTTAAAGCATATATATGCCATCCCAAAAGTGCAAATTCCACAGATTTCAAATCCATATATCCATCGGATGATTCAACCACTGCCCTATAACCTCCTCAGATATATATATATATATATATAGATTCAAATCACACAATATATATATATATATATATCAAATAGACGCACCTGGCCTTCGGTAATGTACCCCGTCAAATCCGGAATCGGATGCGTAATGTCGTCGTTGGGCATGGTCAAAATCGGCAATTGCGTGATCGACCTATATATATATATATCAGCCACGATATATATATATATATATATCAATCAGTCAATCAGGCACGATATGTCTCCGATAATCGTCCGTTAAAAACACTCTCCATCATATCCGAATGGACATGTTGGAGTCTGGTATAAAAAAAAACCCCAAAAAAAACCATATCCGATATGACCCATCATCCTAGGTATACCGCATTCCATATATCGATGATTCCGACATACCCGTTGCGACCCATGACACGCCCCGCCCGTTCGTAAATGGTCGACAAATCCGTGTACATGTACCCAGGGTACCCGCGCCGCCCCGGCACTTCTTCGCGGGCGGCCGACACTTCGCGCAGCGCATCGGCGTACGAGCTCATGTCCGTGAGGATCACCAACACATGCAGGTCGCGCTCATATGCGAGGTATTCCGCGGTCGTAAGCGCCAACCGCGGCGTGATAATGCGCTCAATCGTAGGATCATTGGCCAAGTTCATAAACAGAGCCGTGTTTTGCATGCATCCACTCTAAAATTATAAAATAGAATATATATATCGTGAGTGTACAGTATATATTATTATGATGATACACCGTAGACATACATGTCGACATATCCACATACTGCAATATCATCATATCGTTTTTGGAAAGGAAATCGAGAATAACCTCTGAAAAAGAATACTATTTTTATTAAAAATATCAAGCAACATACACACTTGTCAATATAAAGTAATAAGTGTACAGTCAGATATTTTTAAGACGATGCAAATACGAACGAGGATCGGGTGTGAGTATTTATCGGAACGGACATGGACCTTGTAACTCGGAACCGACAGGGGTGGGATTCCACACACGTAATATATATATATATATATATTGTCCAGCATTTGATTCAAACCTTCAAGTCGGGGGATATCATCCTTCATATTGGTGGCAGACAATCGATATAACACGACCAATCAAAACCCAGATATCAATAATGAAGTAGCCAATCACGCTTCGACCAAGTATCGTCCACATGTATTTAGGGGAAACAGTCAAAAGAATAAATGTATAGACCACACGATGATATCTCGAAACGGACATGGAACGTTCCACATGATTGGGAATTGAACCGTATTGGATATATCGACAACGATATGGGGAAATACCCCATGTTCAAACTGACATGTGATAGAGACAGGGTACCTCTTCGAAATCATTGCGGAAGAAGCGCGCGGTTTCCATATTGACCCCCATGGCCCCAAACACGATGGCAAAGTTGTCTTGATGCGAGTCCATCACGTCCTTGCGCTGGACAAGGCCGGCTTGGCGGCAGATTTGCGCCGCGATCTCGTTGTGCGGCAACCCCGCGGCCGAAAACAGCGGGATCTTTTGGCCACGGGCGATCGAGTTCATGACGTCGATGGCGGAAATGCCCGTTTGGATCATCTCCTTGGGGTAGTCGCGGCACGACGGGTTGATGGGTTGACCTTGGATGTCCAAGTAGTCCTCGGCGACGACAGGCGGGCCGCCATCGATGGCCTTCCCGGACCCGTTGAACGCACGCCCCAACATTTCTTCCGAGATGGGCATCTTCAACACGTCGCCCGTGAACTCGCAATGCGTGTGTCGGTTGTCAATCCCGTCCGTGCCTTCAAACACTTGCACCACGGCCTTGCTCCCTTGCACTTCGAGCACTTGCCCTTGTCTACAAAAGTCACGGCATGCTCGCTTTAGGGGGATGATCAGGGATATGGCAAGCAGCATACCGCACTTCGCCCGTGGACAGCGTCAAGTTGACGATTTCGGCGAACTTTGGCAACTACCACGACACGAACAAAACGATCATACACATGTCGCTTGAATGGAGATGCAGCATGTTCTGCTGGTTCGTTACCTTGACGTTTTCCAGGATGACCAGCGGCCCGTTCACCCCAGAGATCGTGCGGTAATCTATGCACGTTCGTTGTCATGGCACAGAGAAGGATGCATCCATGGTTGGTATGTACCGATGCGGGGCTCCACGTAGTAGTCGCGCACGACGGCCTTGGCATTCACCTCGAACAGCTGCAGATCAATCGACTTGCTTCCATGGCCTCCCTTGTGACTCATCTTGGTCTCTTCGCTTTTTGAAGTCACTTTATGGCAGCCCCAGGGTGAGGTGGAAAACGACATTAAATCTCACAGGGGGGACATTTCCCATACAAATCCACGACAGTCGCTCCCTCCTAGATTCGATATTCCGGATATGCACGCAAAAGATCCGGATACCCGAAGATCGCTTTTTTCGTTTCTGGTTTATCCGGACGATTATGTGATGATATAATAAAATACGACTCAAGTATACTTTGTCGCATATAATAATATAAATCGAAATTTCGATACTTCAAGGAAGCGATTCTTGTTAGTCGCATCGGGGAAGGAGGGGAGCATGGTGGTGATTCGTGTCGCGTGGCCGTTGGTGCAGGTACGTTCTCGCTCGAGTGAACATGCCCACCATCCCAAGGAACACGATAACGACGCCCACAAACACCAGCCAGTCCTTGTGGACCGAGTTCGTCCATGACGTGGCAGCGTGAGAGGAGCGCGTCACGGGGTTGTGGCCGTAGCCCACGCAGTTGGCGTAGTACGCAGGAGTCCCAGCCCAGTCGGAGAACAGTCCCACGAGTTGCAACTCTTGTACAAACACATGCATCGCTTCCAACGCAAACCCTTCGTTGTGGATCGCTGGAAGCACCGATTGGTAGTACCACGTATCATCTACTACATCGTTGGCGAGAACCCCCTGCCGTTCGAGCGACCACCCGATGATGTCGAGGCCGGCGCGGCGGGCCTGGAGGCCAATCTGGGACGCGACCAACCGTCCATGTTGCATGTCCAGGAGCGCAAAGAGCGGCGGCGCCCAGATGCGGATGCCTTGGTCGACCCAGGCTGCAAACGTGGCTGCATTCGGCGCAGTGGCCATGGACTGCATGCTGTCCAACAACACGGCGGTGTTTGCAAACGCTGGCTCGTTTCGAACGACGTACAAGACGTCTTGTTCGAAAAACGATTGAATGTACACCCGAGTGGGGGGAATAGAGAACGTCTTGTACGTGTCTAGTATCTTTTGCACAAAGGCAGGTCGTGTCCAGTTGAAACCGCCGCCGACAAATGCCTTGGCTTCCGGCGTATGGCGCACTCCCATGTGCTCGTACAGCTCGATCGAGTCGGCTAACGTCATCAAGGTGCCGCTGGTGACGCCAGCGTACAACGTCGTGCGGAAACCGGGGGTACCTGTCTGCACATACTCCTCCACCGTAAGTGCCTTGGCATTGAAGCCTTCCATCTTGCCGCGCAGCGTCCTCCATTCGGCCAACGTCAGGTCGGAGGTCCAGCATTCCGCGGTAGCTGGCGCATTCGTGTCGGGGTTGTATGGAGTGAACGGTGTCGAACACTTTGACGCGAGGGGGGTCAATAGGATGTTAGTCGTGTAGTGCAGGTCGTTCTGGGCATGCCGACACACTAGTTCGTGGTCTTTGGTGAACGTGACGTCGCATTCGATCGTACCGGCGCCCAGACGCGCCGCCGCCACTGCGGACTCCCGCGTGTGTTCTGGAAACTGCAACGGCGCTCCGCGATGGGCGAAGGCAAACGAATTTGGAGTCATGGGTTGGTCGGCGCATGCCTCTAGCGTAGCGCGGAGTGGCGACGACGCGGCGAGTTGCGAGATGAGAAAAGACGGACGAGGACCCGTCGAGATGAGCGTCGTCGGGCCGGGCAACGAGGATGCAGCGGTGACGTCGTCGACAGAAGTTGCCAGGACCATGATCGGTCGGCGCGGGTGGTAAAGGCGTGTGAAACGTGATGACAACTCGACGAATCCTGTGAAACTGAACGTAACAAATGCTAATTTTGAAGTGTTGCGCCCGATTTGATCAAATTTCGCAAGATTTTGACGAATTCTGCAGTTCTCGAGAATCTGAATACTACTTTAACCTCATGCGGTATTTAACGTATTTTGGTTTTGGGTAATTGTACGTTAAATAATAAAACCTCTACTCTTCGATTTGGCCAGTTGGAAGTTTTTAGATGACGTACACCATAGTATTCACCTTTTTGAGCTCGGAAATACAAATTCAGTATGTGAGTTTGAATCAGGGCAAATAAAATATCAAAGTTGTAGGCACACAAACAGGTGATGGGTGATTTGCCGAAATTTAACCTTGTATTCAGTATTCGAATTTTACGCCTTCGATGAAAAACAAAGTTATTGATTTATAGAGCAATATTATATGTATGCAATAATAATATTTTACAGGTCATACTTGATTTGAAAACACGCGAGCCCCTCTTTAAGTTAGTTCTATTCCCATCATACGGTTTTGAAGGTATCACTTGTTGCAGGGTTTTATTTTCGGGCTGCTCTGGATACGATGTCATAAAATTATGCCATAAATGGGTTTTGAGATTTTGCACTTTTTGACCAAAATACCAAAACAAAATGTTTGAGAAACCGTCTGGATCCACATGATGAAACTGTCATCTCGCTGAAATTTGATTGCGCGCGAAAGTTACACGCAGCTCGGATGAAGGTACAACTATGTGTGCTCCGACAGCGCCTTCGGCGTCGTCGAAGGCGCGTTCTTGACGGGGCCATGTAATGCTCGAAGGCAACGGGATGCCTTCATTGACGGGGCCATGTAATGCTCGAAGGCAACGGGATGCCTTCATCGAAACCTTTCGGCATTCCGTGGACTCGACCTCGATGAACGTGGCGATTTGCGCGGCACACGACGAGTCTTGATTTGAGCTGTTGCATCGTGAACGGTGGCCTTGAGGTTTTCGACGAAACTGGTTTGATAGACTGTCGAGCCTTTTCGGTCTATTTTTTTATGCCATAATTTCGTCCTTTTTGGAATTCAATTTTGGAATAAAAGCATTGTATTTTGTGGTATCCAGACGACAAAAATTGACGACTTTGTCATTTCTACATTTTATGGAGAAATTCGCTATTTTATGGCATAAGGGCATCCCCACCGGTGCGACAGTATAATCAGACTGTAAAATACCGTTTTACAGTTCCTGTATTTTGATTTTCGTCAACCCCAGCGGTAAAACTGTAAAACATCCGAATAATATTTTTATCCGGAATTGAACGCCTGGTGCGGACGGGCAGGACGACGATGAGGACATGGATCAAGCTTGGGAGATTCTTGGTTTTCATCAGTCTTCTGCGCGCCCTAAAGGCTCTATTGCCAACCGCCAGCCAAACCTACCACGAGATAGCGAGGCTGCGCATGCTCGGATTTACCTACTACTTTGGCCCCAATCCAATCTACGGCGAAGCCAAGTTTCGCCGTCGTTTTCGAATGGCCAGACCGCTGTTTGAACGAATCATGGACGGTGTGGTGATGCGCGATGAGTACTACGGACGGCCTTGGCTGATTCCATTTCTGAACCTACTGATTGTTGACTCCATAACGCACATGATTGGACAAAATTTTCGATTGATAGCATGTTATTGGCTAATTCGTCAAAACTGTATTTTACAGTCGCGACTGTAAATCTGGCCGATTTGCCGTCTCGCGGTAAAATTTTACAGTTTCCTGTATTTTACAGTCGCCCGGTGGAGAGGTCACATCAAAATAATTCGAAAATATTTTCTCACCTCCTACTTC